TCAACCATGTTGTCGCACCCAGAGCCTCAACAGCCGCGTCAAAGCATAGTTGGACAAAAGATTGAATGCTCACATGTGCGCATACGAGATGAGATGTAAGGGGTTTGTCTGTCCATGTATCCTCAGATCTCCGTCGTTATCGATATCGTCATTAGTGTACCCGAAAGGGGCATGGATCAAGCGCGTCACTGCCATCGCCGCGGCTTTAACAGCAACAGCTCCGCAATCATCAGCTTCCGGGACCTCCCCACGTCCGCCCAATGTCAGCCAATCCAGGTGCACTGAAACGGAAGCACTCGGGCAAGACGATCAAAGAGCTCTTTACCACACAATCCAAGCCAAAGCTCGCCTCCGCAGCGCCGCTCTCACCCACTAGCAAGCGCACACGACGTGACAGTTCTCCGATCCCCACCACCGAGATCGCCACACCCCCAGCGCCGATTACCAAGATGAGCACAGCAGAGATGTATCACTTCCCCAGCAAGAAGGCGGGACTATCGAGCAATGCCGACGTGGTAGACATCACGTCAAGCCCCGACAACAGCCCTGCCAAAGCGAACGGGCAACGGAATGGCATGCGCAAAGCAGCGCCCAACATGCACGCCAACAATGGTCCTAAACGATTGGTGGTCAAGAACTTCAAGCCCACGAGGAAGGTGGACCCCAGGGTCTTCCTGGACCAAACATGGACGAAGATCGATAAGGCTCTGGACACCATCTTTCGGCAGGGGGATGTGGACTTTAGTCTGGAAGAACTATACAGAGGTGTAGAGAATGTATGTCGCCAAAACATGGCGAAAGACATCAAGGAACGCTTGATTGCGAAATGCAAGGACTACGTGGGTGGGAGTCTGAAGGCGAAGGTCAAGGAGAGTCTGGGAAGGCCAAACATTGACGTACTGCGGGCAACTCTGCAGGCGTGGGTAGTGTGGAACAGCCAAATGGTCAGTAATACCCATACACGTCCGCACGCTGTCTTACTGACAAACTGAAGAAATACCTTGACTGGATCTTTTGCTATCTCGACCGCGCCTACCTACTCCCACGACACGAGTCCCTCCGCGAAATCTCGATCAGTCTCTTCCGCTCCCTCATCTTCGAACACTCCAAATTGAACCCGCGCATTGTCGACGGTGCCTGCGATCTTGTCGCTAATGACCGGATGGACGGTGACCTGGACAGCGAGATGTTCTCCAAGACGGTCAACATGTTCCACGACATGCAAGTCTACACACGCTCCTTTGAGCCGCGCTTGATGGAGATCAGTCAGGAATACGTTGCGAAGTGGGCAAATACAGAGAGTTCAGAAAAGTCCCTACCCGAATACGTCCGCAGTTCGAAAGCACTCATGGATCGCGAGATGAAGAGGGTCGACATGTTCAGCCTCCCGAACACCACCAAACGAGAGCTCCTCACGTTATTTGAGGACCACTTGATATCGAAGAAGGAGGAGCGACTGACCAATCAAGACGAGCTTGCGGATCTCCTCGAAACCAACGCCATTGAAGATCTTGAGCTACTGTACACGTTACTCGAACGGAGGAAACTTGGCTCAAAGTTACGGCCAGGGTTCACAAAGTGGATTGAGGACGAAGGCACAGCTATTGTGTTTAACGACAAGGAGCAGGATAACATGGTGATACAACTGCTCACATTGAAGCGCCAATTAGACACATTGTGGAAGGCGTCTTTCCACCGAGATGAGGAGTTGGGTCACGGTTTGCGAGAATCTTTTGACAAGTTCATGAACAAGACAAAGAAAACGAGTGCAAGCTGGGGCACGGACAACTCGAAGACTGGCGAGATGATTGCCAAGTACGTGGACATGCTGCTGAGGGGAGGCGCAAAAGCGATACCAGCACAGCTTAGCCGCAAGGCAGACAAGCCCGCTGCTGTAGAAGTTGAAGAAGATAACGAAGAAGGTGTTTTCGATGAAGACACAGAAGTCAATAATCAGCTCGATCAGGTTCTCGATTTGTTCCGCTTCTTGCACGGCAAGGCTGTGTTTGAAGCTTTCTACAAGAAAGATCTGGCCAGACGATTGTTGATGGGCCGAAGTGCGAGTGCAGACGCTGAGAGGAGCATGCTGTCGAGACTGAAGATTGGTAAGTGTGTACCTATTTGCGACTTGCTGAGATACTAACGTACTGCAGAATGTGGTGCCGGCTTCACCGCCAACCTCGAGCAGATGTTCCGCGACATCGAACTGTCACGAGAAGAGATGAGTTCGTACAAGAATATTAGTGAGGAACGCAACGAAAAGCTCAGCCTGGATCTCAACGTCAACGTCCTTTCTGCGTCAGCTTGGCCTACGTACCCCACAGTCCCTGTAATTCTACCTCCGCAGATCCAGTCTGCGATCAACAAGTTTGAAGCACACTACAAAGTCAAGCATTCTGGTCGCAAGCTGGAGTTCAAGCACGCGCTCGCCCATTGCCAGATCAAAGCCAGGTTTCCCAAGGGACTCAAGGAGTTGGTGGTGTCTTCCTTCCAGGCTATCGTTCTTTTGCTCTTCAACGGCCGAGCGGATGATGAGCACATTGACTACGAGTACCTCAAGCAAGCCACTGGACTACGTAAGTTGCGTGCTAGATCTACTATATCCGCATCACTAACATCTGATAGCGCCGGCTGAGCTTAATCGCACTTTACAGTCCCTAGCCTGCGCAAAAGTCAGGCCATTGACGAAGCACCCCAAGGGCCGAGAGATCAACGAAACCGACACCTTCACACTCAACGCGTCATTCACAGACCCCAAGTACCGTATCAAGGTCAACACCGTCCAGCTCAAGGAAACAGCAGCCGAGAACAAGGAGACCCACGAGCGTGTTGCTGCTGACCGCAACTACGAGACGCAAGCTGCCATTGTCAGGATTCTCAAGGCGAGGAAGAGAATTAGCCACGCGGAACTGGTCAGCGAGACCATCTCAGCGACGAGGAACAGAGGAACGTTGGAGGTCAGCGGTATCAAGAGGAACATCGATCGCTTGATCGAGAAGGAATTCTTAGAAAGAGAAGATGACGGACTGTATGCATATATTGCTTAGGCTATGCACATTGCCAGCTGGTTTGGATCTCAGCACATACTTTACATGGCCGCAGAAGGCAGGCTTACAGTGTACAACAATGATATTGTTATCGTGTTCTATCTCTTACGAAGATTGTATTATGTTCTACCCATCTTCGCGCTCGGTCAGCGAGTGCATGTTGGGCGAGCTGCTTATCATTAGTACCGCATCCGGCACATTTCGCTCAGTAATCGACACCACTTCCTAGCCGCCGGCATCGCTACGCTCGCTTCTACTACCATCCGCACTTACCGTCGTGGAGGCCGATCTCCTAGTTTACATGCCTCCTACACCCAATGCCCAGGCCCACCTTCCAAATCCAGCGCTAGTTGCCGCGTTTCCCTGTCGATCCCTAACCGCACTCAGCCTATCGAACACGCACATGTGCACCACCGCCAGATCTCCGGCGATAAGCAGCTTGAAACACATCATCTTAGTTCCGGGAGATAACCGGCGAATCGTTGTCCGTACCTTCCTGATCGGCGGAAGTCGCATGTCCTGGGTGCATGGGATGGTGCTGGGGATGTTGATGCTCCGGTTGTCTTGGTAGCGGGAATTCATGCGTGATATTGTTGTCGAGCGAATGGGAGGGGGTAACGTGAGAGGGTGGTGGATGTATGAAAGGACCGAGGGTCTGCGCTTAGTATGGTGTTGTAGGTGCCACGCTTGGAGTGGTAGTCTGTGATAGGTTCCTCTACCCCAGCTTGAGAGAGCCTCCGCTGCATGGCTTCGCGGAGCAATTGTTCCTTCCGGAAAGGTGCTAAGGCTCTCTGCGTCCGGGTTTAATTGCTTTCGAGTATGATCTTCCACTTTAGGGTTGAGATGGTTCGGAGGCGACCGCTGGACTACCATTAGACTACACTGGGGTGACAGGTAGTAAGACAGTATAAAGCTACTATGTAGCACCCTTTGTTCGGAAGACAGGTCTAACAGCCCCGCCGATCCCTCGTTACACAACGCCCGACAAGACACTCGCTCGTCGTCTCATTCTCCCCCAGCCGCGACCATGAAGTTCCTCACCAACATCCTCCTCTTCATTGCGCCCGTTGCCCTCGCTCTCCCCACTTCCGTCTCCGAAGAGGCACCCGTTGAGATTGCTGCCGTCGAGTCCAGACAATCTTGCTACGTCAAGTGCGGCTCAACATGCTACACTTCATCCCAAGTCTCTGCTGCACGCAGTGCGGGTTACAAGCTCTACCAGGCCGGAGATGAAGCTGGTAGCTCCACTTACCCGCATCGGTATAACAACTATGAGGGCTTTGACTTCTTGGTTTCGGGCCCGTATGAGGAGTTCCCGCTGAGGACTTCGGGTGCTTACACTGGTGGTATGCCATATCCGTGTTCATGATAAACGAGGTCGACTAGAGTATGCATGCTGACTGAGGTATTTAGGCTCTCCAGGTGCTGATCGTGTCATCTTCAACACTGCTGGACAGCGTGCGGGAGAGATTACACACACTGGTGCCAGTGGCAACGCGTTTGTCGCTTGCTCCGGTTGGTAAACTTGTTGTAAGGGATTGATCGTGAAGACCATCAGAGGGTCGTTGGCGGCATCTGAGGGTGAAGGGTTTGCACGGTCCCAGAATGCAGTGCATCGGCGAGTTGTAACGAGGGATCGATGTGCCTCCCAAAGAACTTTTCACCCGCATCCCAGTGTTGGAGATGGTGGAGGCAGGTTATTCATGTATATACATTTTTGGAACGATTTAAAGTATCTTCAAGTCTATTGTGGGATCGTGATCAGCTTAACTTCAAGTTCAGAACGGAATGTGGCGTGCTTTCACGTGGTAGCGCGTCCGGAAGGCACGCTATCTCGTGTTTGTACTAGTGAGCCGCTCAATCCGCAATCTTCCTATCGCGAACTTTCTAGAAGGACGCGTCGCATGTTCGTCAACGAACTCATCTCATCTATCATCACACTTAAGAAGCACCATGTCGCGCGTCACCAGTGAAGACCCCGCGCGACAAGAGTTGAAAGAAGTCATTGAGACCTCAACCCACAAGCGCTTACGAACTGTTCTGCTCGAGATATGTAACGAGTCGCCAGAAGCTTTCAAGCTAGTATACGATAAGCTCTTTGTGAAGGAAGAACAAGCAGGGCGACCAGCGGTGTCCCTTCTTGATGGGCCGCTCGCAGAGAGTTCCGCTTTCAAGCTACCAAGAGCTCAGAAGCGCGGTCGACGCTTCGACGTTTGTGTGCAGTGTGAAAAAGAGTTTGATATACTGAAGGAAGAAAAATGTGTATGGCATCCAGGTAAGAAGTCTCCGAGCTTTACGATGTATGAACCTCTTACTCACGTCTTTACAAGGAGAGTTGGAAATTTACAACGATGAGGACTTTTGGACCGATCATGATGAAGACTGCCACGGAGAGATCGATACCGAAGAAATGCGTGAGGAGTATCCTGAAGGTTTCGTCTGGAGTTGTTGCAAGGGGTATGGTGATGCCAAGGGCTGTAGAACAGATCCTCACGAGCCACGCTCTGCGAAGAGAAGCAGGACTGAGAGTCCCAGTGGCGAGTCATCATCGGAACGCGATTCTGAATCGGAGTAGAGAGACGCTTGTGTGTCTATTTCAGTGATATCTTTAGTAATAACGGTGTTCATCTTCGATGCCTTCACCGACAACAGTCCCAAGCTGTCCGAAAGCAGCATTCGTCCAGAGCGCACGTCCAGAGGAAGAAAGACTATGCGAAGCGCATGATCATATCGAGCTATATCACTCCGTATTAAACCTTGCTCAAATCAAGCTATTGGATACGCGCGCTTACTGAGTCAAGGGTACTGAGGTCCTGACTGTGTAACCGCCCAGCCAACAACATAATATCAGCTCAACGTGCACCATGACACCTCATCGCCAACATCATGAGGTCTATAGTTCCCTCTTAAGTCCCACTTGATACCATGTCGTCGCAACAGCAACTGGCAAGATGATCATCCACATCTGACGAAGTGACCGTAGCAGGCAAAAGGGCATGAAACCAACAACATCTTACGTCCGATCAGTGAAGGCAACACTATATCTGAAGAGAGAGACTATAGAGGTGTGATGATGTATAAAGGCTATGGCAGAGCAGAATCAAATTATCACAACGCATCTTCTCCCACTTCCATCTTCACTACATCAGCAATCTTTCAATCCATCAGGACCTTACAGTCTCACACTTCAACATGCATTTCTCCGCCGCTCTTACCACCTTGTCCGCTTTCGCTCTTATGAGCACCACCATGGCTGTCCCCCGCTCAGCCAGCTTCGTCACCTGGGGCGACAACAGAACGTGCAACGGTGAAGACAGACTGACCCACCGATATGGAGAACTTGACGACACCCAACCATGCATGCTCCTGCCTGACGCACTCGCGGGTAGCATCAAGGTTGTCTACACGCGCGATGCCGCCAACTGCCGGGGTGAGTCTGCAACCGTCTATGTTCTCAGGATTGCGAGCACAATGCTAACGATGGATGTACAGTCAACACTTACTCCGGAACGCAGTGTGACGGTGAGCGTACACAGTACAAGTATGAGCCGAACACTCAACCCTGCCTTCCTATTACCGAGAAGCGTAGCTACAACATCACTTGCTAGACTATTGCATCTGTTCGATAGGGGCAGTGAGCGATGAATGAGGCGTAGACGGAGCTGGCAACGGCGTGGAAACTTGGACAGTCATTACCGTTTCTTTCTCTTTTCAGATGTATCTCACTCCGCTCTTTGTAGATTTGTATCTGTACGTCTGACCGTCTGTTCAACACGAGACAGAAGCGTAGCTAGAACAATCGAAACTTTTAACCCAACTGCGCTTGAAGTGAATTGACTGCCCAGAACTATGCTCGCTGCCATTGTCAGAACAACGATTCATGATAGGAAGATGTGTGAGTTTGAGGAATACGCTGCGGTGCTATCCCACTTGATGGAGCCTACCATACACTCACGCAGTCTTCCTCCAGGCGTCAGCCAACAGTGCCCCACCAGCAACCATACCACAAGCACCAACACCCCAATCACTTAACAAGCCCTGCTCTAGCGACCAGTGAACAGTCATGGGCGCATATGCCAGATTAGACGCAAGATCCTTCCACCACAGCCAGTTTTCCAATTTCCTGGCCTTGATCCGCTCTTCCCTCTGGATCTTATCCTCCTTCTCCCCATCACCCGAGCTCACCGATGTCGACTCAGATGACGAAGCGTAATACTGCTGAACCCCCAAACGCACAAGCTCAACACCCACATACGCAGCCCAGAACCTCGAACTCCACAACCACCACGCATTCTCCCGTGCTTTACCCACATCGCCCGTCCAACTCGCCGTCGTCAACGCGCCCTTTGAGCTCAGGTACGCGCCGTTCTCCAAGACCTGGAAACCAACACAGGACATGATGGCCGTCCACGTCAATCCCCTCAGTATCTTTTCTTTCCTACTCGCATCTTCTGGTAACCGGTCTTGATATGTATCCCGCGCCCACGTATACAAGCCCAGTACGCCCCATAACCGCACGAAGATGCGGAAATCGGATATGACAGCCGCAAGCGCTTTCGAACTCCCAACTACTTGTGCGATGACTTTTGTGCTCGTGGGTGCTGGGAGGCTGGCTATGAGGGTTTCACCGGGGAGCAGGACACCCTCTGCTTTCTCGGCGATTTCTGTGGCGATGGATTCGAGGCGACGTTCGAGAACGCGGGAGAGGACGGCGTGGATGAGGGTTAGGGTATACGAGGTTGTGCAGAGGAGGACGTCGGTGCCGCTGGGTGTGGAGAGGAGTTTAGAGAGGCGGACGAGCGTGCGGTCTGCGGTGCCAGCGGTCCTGGCGAGGTATCTTAAGAGGAGGAAGCGCAATTTTTGTATTGTTGTCAATCGCGACGGTGGTGTGGGTGTAGGTTTCGCATCGGATTGTGGAGTTGGCTGGTTTGCGCTGGTAGAGGAAGGGATGGTAGTGGAGTCCGGATGCGAGTCGTCCATGTTGAGAAAGTGAGTATTAGGGTAGACGCTCAAGGGAGTCTTGGAGGCGAGCAGAAAGGAGTGTCGGTGCTATCGAGCCTGCATGGTGTTGTTGATTCCGCGCGTAGAGAAAACATGACACCACCCGCGTGTTGACCGAGGTTTGCTCGGGAAGTTGCTTATCGCGTCATCGGCCCGCACGTGGAGCCCACGTTTGGCGACGACCCGTCCATCTTCATTCACATGTGACGAGAGATGGACCCTGAGAAGCTCAACCACTAGCTTCACATCACCGATCGCGTGAGGTCTCGTGAGCCATGGTAGGAGAATCCCATGGCGAGGGCTAGTCGTCATGGACTTTGTTCTATGCCATTTGGGTTTCGTATAGAAAGCTTCGACTCGGCCCACGGCGCGGATCCCTGCCACCTCGTCGTCTTCCCCATACCGTCCCCACTCATACCGCCTCATCTATCGCGGGGAGAAGATACGAGAGCGGGCTCTCTCTCCACCTTCTTATACACCGCCTGGTCGCGTTGAACACCATCGCTTTCGCTCTCACCTCCACCTCCGCAATCATGTCGACCCCAGAGATCCCTACGCGTCGACCGACCTACCCTCTCGCTCACGCTTTCCGCCGTAAACCGCGTCGTCTCCCTCTCGTCCTCCGCTTCTCAAAGGGCGCCGTACACGACATCATCCTCATACCAGTGCTCCTCCACTCGCTCTTCACCGTCCTGATCGTCTACATCGATACCCGCTATGTGGACAGCATATCTATCCCGGCGACCATCATACCCTCGCTCTCCATAGTAGTCGGTCTGATGCTAGTCTTCCGCAATAGCACCGGCTACGATCGTTTCTGGACCGGCCGCAACTGCCTCACCACAATCGGAACCTGCGTCCGCAACCTCGCTCGGATCTGTCTCGTCAACTCTCGCGACAAAGATGGACATGCCACGGAAGAAGAAAGAAGGGATACAGAGAATATAGTTCGAGTCCTAGTAGCCGTCTTGTACTCGATCAAACACAACCTCCGCGCGGAGTTCAACATCCCACCCGCGAGTCTGGCTACCTTGCCTCCTCAACCAAGCGTCTACCCAAACCGCTCCCGCCCTGTTTCCAGACGCCCCAGCTATATCGACCGCACCGGTAGTTTCGGCCCGTTCTATCCCCCCATTCTCACAAACGACAGCACGAGTACCACCCCGCTTCTCGGCGGGTCGACTGCTACTCTCGAAAACGGCGATGGCACAACACCTATGAAGAAGGATGAATACGTGTCGCTCCTCCCGGAAGGCTTGATGGGCTATGAAGACCAGGGTCTTGGCTTGCCCTTGCAACTCACGATCCTGCTCGAAGGCTACATCCGCCGCGGCCACGATAGAGGCTGGTTCCATGCGCCTCTTTCCTCGCAGATGACTGTTCAGCTAAATACTCTCGTTTCTGCTTACGGCACTATGGAGACTATTCACAGCACGCCCATTCCTGTCGCACACCTGATTCACCAGAAGCAGGTCCTGGCGCTGTATGCATGTGTCCTTCCTTTTGCCATTGTCGATGATTACAGGTGGTGGAGTGTACCCATTGTGGCTATTATTGCGTTTACGCTCTATGGCATTGAGGGTATCGGCGTGCAGTTGGAGGATCCGTTTGGATATGATAAGAATGATATCAAGATGGACGGGATCATTGAGGATACGAGGCAGGAGGTTATGGTGTTGTTGGAGGAGTGGAGGGCAAGTCACGAGGGGAGAGCTATGGGAGGTATGTTTGAGTGTGAGTCGTTTTGCGAGTGAAAATCCAACGATTAGACCTGAAGAAGAGATGGAGTACGACGAGACAACGAGAGGGTCAGCCACGAACTAATGTTTGTTTTGGTCTTAACGAGTTTCCATAGCGTAGATACCCCAGAAGCACAATGGCCAAACGAATGTGTCCTACACGGAAAGAAAGCTGCAAGCGCGAAGATTTGGTTGACTTTGTTACAATACATTAGCTACCGTTCTTCCGCCCTCCTGTATGTCTTGCTTACTCTTGAACTATAACACATTGCAACATGATCCTCCCCACCCAGACCTACATGGAGATCATAACAATCGCTTTGCACACGCCATAACGCCCGGAAATATGCAACTGAGCCCGAAAGGAGAGGTTTCCAAGAGAAAGAAGTTAAAAGATGCAACACGCTCAGTTTGCGGATCGGCTAGTCAAATCGTACCGGAGGTAGGGTGGGTGCTCCGCTGTTACTTCGCGCTCCACTGCTGTCGGAGTCAGACGGCGGAGAAGTCTCGCGCATGCGGCTGCCGGCTGTCCTTCCCGCACTGCCATCAAGGACAAAAGGTCCGGCATCGTTCCTGGGGGTCATGGGACCATCCTGTACGCGATCAGGGCTTAGGCCATTGCTGCCGGCAGGATACAGAGGCGATAGTCCCACGTACTCATTCGCACCGTTGACGTTGATGGACACTGGCTGTGTGACTGACGATGTTGGTGGCGTGAGGCGGCGATCGGGCGTCTCTAGTACAGTCTGGTTCTCGATGTTTGTGATCTGGTGGTGTAGATCCGTCAGATCAACACCACCGTCTGAATCGGTGCCATTGATCTGGGCGACAGAGG